ATATCATATGATAGACAAACAGTGCTCCCAATGATCCCAAGTGTTCACTCTATGCGCCCGTGTTTTGGCATTTGTTTGCTAAATGAGCGGAAGTCGACACACAATTCAGATGTCTTCTCCTATTATATCCAAATCTCTTCCGATTTTAATAAAAGTAAAAATTGTTACACAGTTTATATGCGTTCACAAATCAGTTGTGTATACAATTGTTAGTGTCATCTTTCAGCTCATTCTTCTCTCTCTCTCTCTCTCTCATAACTCAAACCATCTGAAGACGGAGTATGAGCTCTATTTATAAGACCTAATAATTTTTTTGTGCTCTTTTGTAGAATAAACGCAAACTTTGTTAATGTAAGCTAATATTTTATGCACATATAAGCCGATTGCACGGATAGGCCATTCATTTGCATGTTTTTGTTCACTTAATAGTGAGACCGAAAAAAGTGAGAGAACTTACAGTTCTGTCGTATTATAACTCATAAGAAGCAAAATATTTGGAGTCAAAAACTCTAATGGAATATAAGCTTTGAGTTGGCTTTGAGTGACACAAAGAAATATAAGGAAAAAGTTTTGACACAAAACCTACGCTTACATTAAAGTACTTTTTATGAAAACAGAGGTTTTGTTCCTATTATTCTGTCTTTCATCACAAACTACTGGTCTCTCTCTCTCTCTCTCTCTCTCTCTCTCTCTAACTCGTGAACTAAATATCTGTTGTTTGATTCGATCTTTGGATACAAATTCTCTCTATTCTTATGTATTATTTTTTAAGCAAAAATGGTTTTACGAGAGATTAGTTTTGAGGGAAGAAAAGGTGGTCCGTTTGCATTTGGCTCCACTTTAATCCTATTGAAAAATAGTGAACAAAAAATATGGCATTCATTTCTGGTACTGAAAGTGAATCGTATTGTCGTATTGACTATAAGTAGTATATATATTGTATACATTGTGTATATACTGTATATTTGTTGCCGAAAAGTGTAACAGAGTTTTATTTAGAAGAGTTTTATAAAAAGCTCTAAAATGTGAAACCTTTGGCTCTATTATCCGTATTTTTGGCATCAGTTAAAAAAGGATCACATATTATATGCACTTTAACTGAGTGTTTGTAAAAATGTAAAGAGAAGTGTAGTTATAGTAGTTATAGTAATCCTGTTTGCAGACAATGAATAGCTTTGTTGTACTTTTTGTTCGCTTTATAAGCGAAAGGCATCCACTCTTTGAGATGATTGGAGTTTTGAGTGAAAAATTTGTCATTCAATGCAATGCAATGGAAATGCAATTGTAGGCAATGGGTGTGTTGTGGTGCACACCTGTGCAAACTCGACACTCCATTCAAATTGTACACCAAATAGACATTGAAAATGCCTAACAGTGGAAGAAGAAGTGCAACTCTACCCAACAGTTAGAGTTAGTGTTTAGTAGTGTTGTAGTAGTGGTAGAGTTAAGTGGAAGGAGTATTAATAGTGGAGGAAGGAGTCAGTAGTTAGTGATATGACTGCGAGATCAAGTGATGATAGTGTCTCTTCTCAGCGCATACTCTCCTACTATCCCTCCAATGATGTCTATCTTTTAGTCGTACGTCAAGAAAGTTAGTTGAGTTGAGTTAAGCAACTCTCACCTTCTCTCTCCTTCCCAGCCATTGCCTACCAGTCCCTACCAGTCCTACTCTATCGCGCGATTGGTGCTCACAATTGGTGCTCACTTCCCAAATAGAGCGGTGCCTACAGACCAGTGCCTAAACTCCTTGTGCCTGAACTCATGCGCTCGGGAGTCGAGTCCATGATTCACATGATTCAGTGAAAGCAACTTTTTGTGTGTCTCTCTCACACACTCTCGCACTGTATTGAGTATTGAGTTCCAACTCCTCTCTACTACTCTCTTACGAACCACTCTTGAGTTTGTCTGCAGTTTCACTCAGACTTTCATATACTCTATTAGTGTACTCTAACTTTAGTACACTTCCAGCCAAAGTTTGCCAACTGTTCCAACAGCTCACCACTGCTTCGGCTCCCACTGTATCACATCCTATCGCTATATCCATGAGTCGAGTCTATGCCATCAATTGATAAATATATTGTATATATACACTACAACTCGTCTATTATAGTATAGGGCCAGTAATTGTGGTCATTTCCACACCACTGTTACACTCAATGAATATATTTAGTGCTAAATAACTTGCGATCAAAACAATTAATTGACTTTTTGTTAATGTGTTTGAAAATCAATGAATAGTTTGTCGACGAAAGAAGTTTTATTTGAAATTCGTGTCAATTATAAGAGAATTTAAACTCTCATTAAAATTAATTTGATTGCATTCCCAGTAAATGCAATGATAAGCAGTTGTGTCACATCAAAATCGTCGTCCCCCTCATCGCCCGTCTCTATGATGTCTCCATCAAGTCTTCACTCCTCACCGCAAGCGTCGTCGTCCTTCAGTCAGGACAGGTCTCCCGTATCGAGTCCTTCGCGATCTAACCTCCAATCCATTCCTCTCCTCAAGCCTTCGGCCATCAAAGAGCCGTCGGTTCACTTCCCGCCCTCAACCATACCATCGATGTGTTTCCCATTGCACGCCATATACGCCCAAAATCCATATTCTGGATTAGTTGGCAACAATTTGTCCACATTCTTCTCGCCGCACGCCATCGCCCGGCAAATGTCATTTCTCAACAACTCTTTCACACACAATATTTCAGGTAATGATTGCTCTCTCCATTTGTTACACATATTTACTGTTATTAAGGCATAAAGCGAGAGAGAGAGAGAGAGAGAGAGAGCCATAAAAGCGAAGACAGCTCTCATTGAGTTTTGAAACTATTGGAATTTATAATTACTTTATTACTAAACCCTTTAGGCAAACGAATTCCTGCCGAAGATTTTTCACGCTTTCCACCGGTCTTTTCGCCCCTCAATACTGCACACCGGACCGCAAATGCGAGCGCCTATCCGACCGCCAAACAGGGCTGTCTCTTCCCATTCAATACCACACATACATCAGGTGCTCATCACTTACACAACGCACAGAACAATATGTTTAACGCATTAAATAACGAATGCCTCACATCTTCGCCACCGTATAAACGCAAAATGTTGAACATTTCCGGAGACAACGATCACAACACTAATTCAAACAATGAATCCCAACTTCTTCAGCAGACATGTAAGTTATCATTACTTATCACTCAATTGATCCATATTTTCTCAATTACGACAAATGCATTCACTTTGCAAACTCTTTACATGAAAAACGGACTTTACATAAATATATTGCAATAAATTTGCTTTGCATTGCATTTATAATTAAATAACTATTGTATTCAACAAAAAATACATTTAAGATTTAATGAATAGAATCGGCATTTATTCCCTTATCTGCAACAAATTTACACAATTAAATTGAGACACTCTTTAGGCTTTTAAATGCATTACATATGAAATATTGTGGTAATTATTTGAATAAAATAGTTATTTTGTTAATTTAAGTATAAATATGAAAATCGATTGAAATATTTAAGATAACAGTAATCGACTCGACGTACAAAAAGTCCTCAAAAACTATATCCTAATGATTTTTGTCGAGCCGTTTGGAGTCAATTAAAAGCCTAAAGTGTCCGCAACTGTTAGTGACACGACCCGGACCTCTGAGGGCATCAATTAGTGTCTCCGTTGCCTCTCATGTCACTCACAACGACATTATCGAAAGCTTTTAACAATTATTGTCTTCTCTTTATTGTTATCGACAGAACTCTCAGATTTCGATCAACTCTTAAATTTCAGTTGAAATTGTTTTCTATAAAAATTTTATGCATAAATGTATTCACTTTTGCTTTTATAAGGACTCGTCTTTTTATTGTTTTTATATTGTTTTATATGAGAATAAACTATTGAAAATTGAGTTAATTACAAAACATTGGTTAAACATTTAAACTGCCATGATCAATAATGTGTTCATGATTACTATGTAATATAATATTTGTGCGATATTACAAAATTAATGTACAATACTTGTGGTTTTAAGTAATATAAGTTAATGATAACACTAACTCTAATTACAATTGCATTGGTGTAGCCCTGGGTTCAAATAGTTGGTGCCGATCGCCATCACATCCGTTGACGTGTCCTCTTTGCTCGATATCTCTGGAAGGGGTGGACATAAGCCGTCATTTCATTGAAGAGGTTCACAAAGTCGAGACATTTAGAAAGTAAGTCATATAAACTACTCACTTATAAAACATACATTTGATTAGCTATTCGTTGGCCGCCAGCGCTTCCACTCTTACTTTAGATTTTATTTTCTGAAAGAGAGAGAGAGAGAGAGAGAGAGAGAGAGAGAGAGAGATGCATAAAATGAAAAAAATATTTGAGGCCTCAAGAGATAGAATTAAGGGATGGGATGTCAGATAATATAACATAATATATAAAAACATTCCAATAATTGTTTTCCACTATAAAGTAATTCAATGCTTAGTAAGCTTTCGAAATATGAGTTTTTTAAAGCTCTCCCTCTCTCTCATCTTTCTTCCGACTCTCACTCCCTCTCATCCATTCATCCATCCATTTATCCCTCTCTCCCATCAATGCATTGCAAAAAACTTCAAAGAACAGCGTTTTTATTGCACATTCTGTGCATTCTTCGAGAGCACAACTCATATGTAGTTCTTATATAAGAAGTTCTCAATCACTGAAAGAATTGAGATTTCATTAAATTTTAATATTGTTTTATACAGTAGTTTGAGAAGTCTTTGAGAGATTTTGGGGAACTTTAACTGTAATCATATAAATAACATGAAAACGGTTTTAAAGTACTAATAAAACTTCTATTACTATATTATTTAGTAATTTGTTAATCATTTACACTTGAATTCAGCGATACTTTTGATATCATATTTTAAATTCATTGAGGATTAAATGTATGATTTTGATTATAAAACGTTTATAATATAGGGTCTTATTAATAATGTATTTATTGAAATAAATTGTAAATAATAAAATTGGTGGTAAACAATGTCTATTGAATGATATCTTGTGTGGCTTTTCTTATAATAGTTGTAATGAACGGTTGAGTTGTGTTGTCTGAGAGCTTGAATGCCATTTACAATGAAATGAACCAAATATTCATACATTTGTATTCGCGATGTATTTTATTTAATATAAATCACTGACTATACTATATATGCCTTTTGCTTTTATTCATTTTATTCAACATTTATACCCTTTTTAATAGTATATTTTGTTTATAGTAATAATTATGAAAATTTGTTTCAACAGATTAAGTAATTTGGCGGACATTCCCAACGATTCATCAGAAAGTAATGAACATTCATATGAGTCTAGATGTTCATCATTTCAAAAAAAGTTGCCGTATTCTCGATGGGAGGTTTGTTTTATAACTTATACCCAAATTATTTATAGACATTAAATAAATAAACGAATATAAAAGAGAGAAAATAAACGCTCGCATAGAGTGAGAGAATGAGAAAAAGAAGAAAACGATGATAAATATTTAGCAATAATATTGTATAGATTTTTAGTATTTTTTTCTCTCTCTTTTATATTCTCTCTGATTTGCAAAGAGTGAAGAAAACGCGTAAACTCTTTGAGAACTAAAACACAAACCTTTTTATCTGAAGTCAATCTCTTAAGCATTATATATATTTTTCTCCTCGATTTTATAGACATTTCAAAGGGTTAAGCAAAACCGTCATTCAAGGCTAACAGGTATTACCACTGATTTTATATATGATTTATACAATTTATACCATTTTTGATTCCCATTTACTGTACATATACTGTATATATTCAATGCAATTAACCAAATGAATACTCACTTAAAGCCGACAAAATCTCATCAAAATGTTTGCTTTTTTTGTTTTTATTTTCTTTGACTCTTAAAAATCTGTTACTCTTTACGAATCAAATTCTGTTAACTTTTTCTTTTAGAGTATTTTATAATAATATAAATAATAAAAACAAATTAAACCTGTATTTATATCTAGTGTTTCGGTCCTTATATTTTGACTAATTTTGTTTGTTTTAAAATCTGTATGAAATTTGTTAAACCTTTAAACTGTTATTTTTTGGTTACTTTAATTTTGAGTATAAATTATATTATTATTCATAATTTTATTTATATTACTTCTTAAAAGATTGTCATTTATACCAAATAATCATTAAATTCAATGAATATATTCTAATCATGTGTTTCGTTAAACATATAAATAACAAAAAGCATTATTTATTTGCACATAATTTTCATGGAAAATGCGAAACACATAAAACACATTCTTATTAATTCATTTTGTTTTGCATTTTAAACGTTATTATCAGTGCTCTTAAGAAACACACGACAAAAATATTTGCAAACATTTCTCGTTTTTCTCTCTTTATTATTATTATTATTTCTCTAAACGTTATTTAAAAAGATTTAAATTACAATTACATTTCGTATCTCAACACTGATTCATATCTTTAGTTTTATTTGTTTTAAACCTTATTTCTCTCAATAAATTAGTATAAAATAAAAATGCTTTTAATTTGTTTGAAATGAAGCCAAAAAATTGTTCTCCAATTCTTGTGCGCAAAAATACATGAAAAGAAGTTTATTATTTATCAGAAGATCTTATCCACAATTAGTGACAAAAATATTTCTGATTAACTGTTGTGTCAAGAAATTTGTTTTTCTAAAATGATTTATTTTCACCATTTCTTTGATTTTTCTTAATTTATTCCCAATTCCGTGTAAAAGCAAATATAATAAGTAATACAAGTATTTTTGACATTTAAAACTGATTAGAGTATCAAACTGTGCAAACATTTTCATATTTCTTCAAAACTAATTTAAATAATAATTAAATTTTTTGTTGTGTTTTTTGTTGTAAATTTATTTACGATTAAAATATTATTATTTGTATTATTCGTAGCAATGATTCGTCAAACGAGGAAAAAGTTTGAAACCGAAGAGTTAAGGACTGAAAGCCGAGGCAATCATTTGCACAGAAGTGACTCCATTTGGAACCTTAGCTCTGATGTCAGCACTACTTCTCAGGTCTGCTTTTCATTCAATTCAATGTTACTATTATTTGCATTCATTTTACCACAACTTATAAATTAAACCACAAGAAAACATCATTTCATTTATTCGGTTATATTATACAGTATTTTATGAAAAGAAATTTAAGTCTAAATTGAAAAGTTGTTTTATAGTCTGAATTAAGTTTCAAATATGATATTATATACCATTCTTGCAATTATAGTGAACTAAAAATAAGGGAACAAATGATAGACAATCACAACTGGAAAATGAATTATAGCTTAACTTTTTGTGACTGACTTTTATATTCTGGGATTTATTGTGTGATCGGATTGACTCTCTCGTCAATAGAAGGGAACTCTTACGGAAAGAGTTAGAGAGAGAGAGAGAGAGAGAGAGAGAGAGAGAGAGAGAGAGTCGGGTAGAGTTAAGTAGAGTATATGTGAACTCATTTTCTCTTCTCATTCAGTGGAATAAGGGATCGAATTATTGACATTTAATGTCAAAAAGAGAAACAGTTTTTGATACGAGTTTGTCATTACAATTGTATAGCATTTGATAGCATTTTTCGTTTTTATCTGTAAAGCATTTAGTGATGAGTTTTTGTCATATAATAATCCCATTAAAAATTACAAAAATGCCATCAAAAGTGAGTGCGAAGTGATGTGCACTCAATGCAAATGAGTGGAAATGAGTGTCAAATGATTGCTTGCATAGAGAAGAGTGGCAATAATTTCTCAAATATATCGATATTTCTGTTATGGCCTCTCATTAAACAATGATAACGAAGAAGTTGTGACACAATATTATAACAATACAATTGTCTACAAAAATCTATTGATTACATTCAAAAAGCTCTTTGTGTTTGGGGTTGAGCTTCAAAAGCAATATTAGATAATAATTCTTCGCTATTATGACATCGATAAGTGTTTTTACATCCAATAAAGTGAACCTTTTTTGGTATATAACTAGCGTTGCCAGAAAAATTTTCTCAAATCCTGAAGTTTAGTTATTTTTTACACAAATTTCCTGGAGATTCCTAAATATATTAATGCAAAAATATTTTTTATATAGATTTATCGTCTCGTGAAGTAAAATTCGCGTTTTTAGATGCATTGTTATAGTATTCTATTAGTCAATTATCACAATATCTCGATAACTTAATCTATTAAAATAAATAACACAATAGTCTTTTCATGAAAGACTTATTTTTCTCTTATTAGAACACATAATTACAGAAAAGCATGTATAAAAGTTTGTAAAATAATGTTCTAATACATTCAAAAAGCTCTTTGTGTTTGGGGTTGAGCTTCAAAAGCAATATTAGATAATAATTCTTCGCTATTATGACATCGATAAGTGTTTTTACATCCAATAAAGTGAACCTTTTTTGGTATATAACTCTCATCTCATGTCTCTCTTTCTATACATAACTTTCATAGTCTTTGCATTAAAATTGATTCAAACACTGAATCAACTCTCGAAGCAAAACATCTCTCCATTAATCAAAGCTAAAGAGACAACAAATAGAAAAATTTATTTAATAATAAATAAAACGCTTTAAAACTTCACGACAAAAATCGGGTCATTTATGAAATGATTTACTGATTAAAACGAGTCTCGCATTCAATGATTTACAAGAGAAAAGTAATTACAAAAATGTTTTTGAGTGAAAAATAAAGATTTTTTGCTTTGCGCCCGTAATTAATATCGTATATTAGTATCATTTATAATGAATATAATGTTAATGTTTTGGTAATGTTTTAATCATTGAAACAAATAGAGGATCGATGACGAAGAGGGCGATGAAGACGACAAGAATGTGGACGTCGTCTCCGATGCCGGCGATAACGACAAAGACGTCGATATAGAAAAGTCAAGCAATGCATCCAATAGTGGACTCAACACTAGAGACTCCTCTGAAAGTTAGCACTTATTTTTTGTTATACGTTATCATATATTATATAATTCATTAATAAATAATCAAATGTTATATTATTTGCTGTAAAAAACTACTAATGTTTACATAAAAATATCTGTATTTCGTTTTTTGACATTAAATGCCCATTAGGTTAACAGTTATTTTGTTACGCGTTTATCTTTATTACGGCTAAAAAATAGCCAATTATTGCAATTTTACATTCATTTCAATTCATTTAAAACATGAAAACTGTGTACTGAATAGAAATGCTGTGATTAAAAGCACTCAATGAGATGTTACACAACTATTCTGTTCACTCTATTGGCAAAACTACTGTATCTTATCTTTACGTCCAACGCTTTTGTTGTATAAAAATAACTTACAATTTATTCACTAATTAGTAGATATAGAGAGAAGTCATAATTGGAGATATAAAAGGTTTTTTGAACCGTATTTTATAATATCTTATAAATAGAAATACAACGGATTTATAACTAGTTTTTCATTAAAAGCCAATAATAATGTAATTATAGTGAGGAATCAGTTCTAGTGCTTTGTTGACCACTTTGTTTAGTAAATGTAATGCAATTAAAATAGGATTATATGATATATGTTTGGCATTCAACAGATTTTTCAGTTATTAATGTATACAACACTGGATTGAGTAGTAAAGGGAGTAAAAGAGTTATTTTGAGTTTTGGTATCTATAATAAAGTGAAGACAATTCTCCACAGTATATAGAGTTGTATTGAAAGTCAGTTAGTGTTTAGAGTAGAGAACGTATAATTCATAAACTTATTTATTCATATAATATGTTATCTTTTTAGTCAAAATCACTTTCACTCGACTCAAGTGTCTAATAATGCTTTACATCTGTTTTTGTTGAGACTTTAAGAGAAAAAGATTAAGTTTTTGTGTAATAAATCTATTGAATGATTCATAAACGCCGAGAATTAAAAGTGTTAATCCTTTATACAGTTATTGGCAGTTAGAGTAGAGTTAGTAGTGTTTGAGTAGTGTTTGTCTGATTAGCAAACAATAGCTTATATTCATTTTAATCAATATAAAAGTTTAGTGAATATTGTGTATATATAGTGAGGGCTTATGCAATGGTTTATGCGGACAATGCATATCACTATACATTCTGACATTGGGTTAACTCTATATTAAAAGTTATTATGTTTTTCTTTATCATAAACTGTAGCCAAAGCTGGCAATGATGTGACAGATGGCGAAGATATAAAGCCACTCGAAAACGGATTATCGTCTCAACAGTCAAATATTCACAATAACAGGTATGCAGTGATGCTGTGATGCAGTGATGCCCTTATATATCAATATCTATATTTTGTTTTCATATGGCTTTCCAACACATGTTTTACAATAACATAACAGAATTATAGTGTTATTCTTAAAACACTTAAAAAGCACTTCAAAATATATTGAATAAGTAGTGAAACAACATATTCACTGCATTTCTCGCTGTTGTTATCATATCTTCAAAGTCTAGCAAACCATTCACCACAACATACACTACACTATCATTGAGTACACTATTCATGTAATACACTATTCTATTCAATATTCATCGCCTTTACTTCACATTCAATAATCAAATCACTCTTTTTATGCCAATATATAAATACATGCAATGTTTTCGCCCTTATATTCATTCACACTATGCATGCATTGAAGAGCACACAGAGTATTATTGTTGCAAATATTATAACAATATATCAATAATATTCTTAACTGTGAAATAGAGTCGCAAAAAATGATGTCAAGAAGTGTTTTATTCCGGAAGACTAAACCTATTAACTCGATATACCATTATATCATACATTGTATCTATAAGTCTAGTGTTTGTGTGCCGTTTGCCTGACTTTAAAGCGACAAAAAGTTTTAAAATGAATGCTAAAGCGATGATTATATTTGTCAGTTAACTCTCTGCATAGGTTTCCAACTGCGAGGCCGTCAAAACTAAATGAAATACTAATCAACTTAGCGTTTGAGAGAGAGAGAGAGAGAGAGAGGCGAAAAGTCGGTGCTCTCGGAGTTCACAGTTAGTCAAAACATTGAGAGCGAGAATACTTTAAATTAGGCAAATATATGCCGTTTCTATACATAACACAACATTTTCAGCTTTAATTCAATTAACATTTCAATTCAATTCATTTTTTCGTATATTTAATAAGAGTTAAGTGTTTAGAGAGTGAGAGAAACGCATTCATAACGTCAAAAGCAATTACATGTGATATTCAGTCTCTATTAAAACACAAAACACTTTCTTATTTAACACTTTTTGAGAAGTATTTGGCATTAGTTTTGATTAATTGTTGTTTTGTTCAGTGATATGGAGAACATTGAAGACATTCACGAAACCATATATTTGTTGCGGAAACGGATCCGAGAGTTGGAGAACAAAGAGAACGATAGCGTGAATAATGAGTCGTCGTATAGAAGCCTACCGTCGATGGCCTAACAGATCCACAACAGATCCCAACACCTGCTCTCCCCTCCAGACGACGACAACATTTGCTTATGTGTTGATATTTGGTGTGAAATATCTGCAACCGATTGATTGCATTTAAACTTCTTGATGACTAAAACATCTGTAACTTATTTTTGGCTCATTTTTGCTATAAGTCAGCAATACTTCAATGAATTAGTAGACAGTTTCGGCATAACTGCTGATTACTCGACACAAACACTACACTAATTGCTTATTTGGATAACTATTGTATTTTAGATAATCTTTTCTCTCTTTTGGAAGATTATATAACAAGAGTTAAACAGTATTTTGTTTGAGTACTTGTTTTGTTAAAAACTAAATATAACTTACGATTAGACTATAATTTAAGTATAAAGTGTTTTTTTGTCGCCAAAATTGTATGTATAGTTATATATATGAAACAATTCTGTAATATTATTGAAATGAATGTTAAAACTGTGCAAATGATGTAAATTATTGTAAAGTTATTATGAAATACATATAAAAGTAAAGCCAAAAGACGCGATCGTAATATAATATACATTGAGTTGTTATGCAAACAATTGATGCCAAACTCCGGCACTAATACAACATTTAGTAAAGTTGTGAACAATAGATAACATGCAATGAGACTCTGAGGGGTCAGACTCTGGTGTGTGTTAACCATATGAATGCCGGGCCATAGAAAGTGTCGATTCATAGACACGAAACACATCTGTGAAATGAATCGACTTTTTTCGACTTTAACTTATTGTCGACTTTTTGGGAGATTATCCAAACGGATCAGTGATCACCTTATGATCACCTCTTTGTGCTAAACAGCCTTTTAGACGAACTTAATAGAGAGAACTGTTGACAACTGTTTGCAACTCTATTGTCGATAGTGTGGCCACAAATACATAACGAAGAAGTTAATAGTATTGAATGAAATACAATAGGAAAGCATAATATAATAGAGTCTCCACTTTCTATGAGCTCCACAACTCCCGAATACGTTAACTAAACTGCTATACACTATAATAGAGTACACTATACAGTGTGTGTTAGTCTATGGGTTCTTCGCACCAGTGATTTGGGTCACAAAAAACTTACTCCGATTGTCCAATGGATGCCATGAATTAGTTTTTGGCAAAAGGTATGAACTGTTAACTCGTGAGTGAAAGGCATATCAAAATACAAGTCGAGTTCATATTTTAGACTCAACCGCGTATTGTCTATGGTTTTCTCCACATTATTATCATCAATAAAGTAGTGATTGTATTCACTCTATGTATTCACTTCTATACTCTATTCATTCAATCACACAACCAGTTCTCTCTCTCTCTCTCTCTCTCTCTCTCTCTCTCTCTCAATGACTTGAATGTAAGACTTATTTTTACCTCTATTTCTGTTCAATACTTTAATTCAGTCCAAAAATGTATATTAGAGTGTATTTTGCAAAAACATTTATAACATTTTGCCACTTATTTCTGTAGTGAGAGACAGACAATACATGGTATTCAATGAATCAGTGATTTATTCTTAAGCTCCTTTCGCTGGTCTCTATGCTATATAGTCTGTATATGCGGTATATATAGTGTAGAGTACAGAGTATTGGCAATAATAGTACTACTCTTTACCCTTTCCGCCCGTTTCTCAGCCAATGTATACATTACTGGCAATTGAATGGCAAATATCTGTAATTCTAATGCGTTTTGAGGTCACGAGAGAAGAGATGATTAAATAAGTCGCTTCTCTATCTATCGTTAGAGTCCGTCGAGAATAACTGATCCGCCCTTTGGTTGCAATCAAAACGAGGAGAAAATAACAGTCCTTTTCACTACTGTTTTCACATCCAGTGACCAGCGATCCGAAGACTCCATTACTCTAATGGCTCTTAATGTCAGTCTAATGTCACCGCAAACTAACTGACAAATCGTCCGACAAAGATGTGATCCGAAGCTCTCTCTCTCTCTCTCTCTCTCTCTCTCTCTCTCTCTCTCTCTCTNTCTCTCTCTCTCTCAGACATCTCAAACAAAAGTCTCTCTAAATAAATCACTTTTTGCTTAAATTCTATATAATTTTCATTTTATGACAAAACACTCAATTCATTATAAATGTTGTTTGCCTTACGGTTTAGGCTAAACTAGTCTTTTATTAGTTTTCAATTTAGATATTAATTGATAACTTAATTACAATTATAATATTTGATATGAAAAGTAGTAAAAGATTTATTAACAAAACACACATAAAAATACAGAAAATAATTGCTTTATATAAGGGTTTCAACTGACACTTCAATCAATTGGATTCAATTGATATTATTATAATAAAAACATCAAATTATTTTCCAACTAATAAAAAAACTCTCAAAGATATCAATGATATCTTTGAAATGCAATAAAGTTATAAAATGTTTTTAATAGAAAACGTACATTAGTTTTATTAAATCTTTATTATTTTAATCTTGGTTTTTATTATAAGTTCACAAATGAATTAAGATTTTTAAAAATACAATAATTAAAACAGTTTTGAAATATTATTAGTTATCATATAGTTATAAACAAAGCCTTCAAATGAAAAAATACTATTAGACTAACTGATGGCAAAGAAATAATTAATTAATGGCTTATATTTCACCAAAAAATAATAATTAGATGCAATTGATGTTAATTAGTAGAGATGTGAATGTAATGTTTGATTTATTGGCTTCCAT